AAAGAGCGAGATGGGAAGGAGAAGACTCGCAGGGACTTTTAAAGAGGGTGGTGGGGCTGGTGAGATGGCTCAGTGGTCTAAAGCACTTACTTAGAACAAGCTTAGCAAAGCACAGGGACCGTGGTTCAATCCCCCAGCACCACATGCCAGCCAGCCCCGCCCCCTGGTGGGCTGAGCTGGTCACACACACACACACACACACACACACACACACACACAAATAAATAAAATTTAAAAAAAAATAAAAAAAAAATAAAGAGGGTGGTAAGCCCCCACTAAAGCCAGCAGGGATTGGACACTGAATCTCTACAGAGGGTTATGGTTCTAGAGGTTCTTACCACCCAGACTAGAAGAAACAGGGAGTACAGAAGCCATCAGATCAGGACGTACCCTGTGAGGGAGGCTGGGACTGCCAGGTACTGCCCAGGTATCCCCAGGTGCAGTGCAACACGAAGGCTTCCTGTGCTACCTTCTTTGTTCTGCAACCGCCCGCCCCTCTGCCACATGTGGTAGCACAGGTGTGGGAAGGTCCTCACACCCAGAAAGGACACCAAAGGCAGCCAGGGCTTAGGCAGCTATGCCCTTCAGAGAAGCCATTTCTGTCTTGCCAAATTTAGACAGACTCCGGTATGCCAATACCTTCTAATTAATTTGTTCACTGCATGTGATTACATTAAAGTAAGTACCTGTAATACAGATTTAGGCTGCATTAAACATACTAATTCCAAGCCAGGTGTGGTGGCACACAAACCCTCGTCCCAGCACTCTGGGAGGCGAAGGGAGGTAGATCAAAATTTGAGCCCGGCCTGGACAACTTTAGCAACTTAAGGATAACCTCTCTCAAAATAAAAAAGGAATGGGAATGTAGGTCAGCTTGAAGGCCTTGGGTTAAAGCCCCAATACTGCAAGAAAAACCAAAACAACATACAAAAACAAACAAAGCGATTCCAGTGAAAACTGCTAGCCATTCTGACACTGGGCCAGGGACAAACTGTGCCCTCGGGCTCATCTGGTCAGGGAGAGGACACTGTGCTTCAGCCTGTAGGATGTCTGTGGTCAGTCTGAGAGGGCCACACAAGCCCATGTCTTGCTTTCAGCTCCATCTGAGGAAGTGAGGCTCTGAGAGAGCAGAGGGATTCCTGCCCCCAGTTGCTGGTTGTTTAGAACATCCTAGAAGCTCAAAGTTTGCGTGGGTGAACAAACAGTCCCAAGTACTGTTCCAAATGTGCAGAAACGATTAGGGAGAGGTAGAGAAGAGGAGGATTCAGAGAAAGAGGCTGACAGACAGAAGTTGAGATAAATGGAGACCAAGGCAGAGAGACAGAGAGAATATACCCACTTCCATTACTGCAGACCATCTAAATCCTACAAGGGGCTGGGGAGATGGCTCAATGGAATAAGCACTTCCCTGGCAAGCACAGTGTCCTGAGTTCAATCCCCGGTTCCGCCAATAAATAAATAATAAATAAGTAAATAAATCCTACAACAAGAACAAGGTGGTTGCTGTGCTTTTGTGAGGATGAGTCTTACTTTAACCAGTTATTTGGAGCACAATAACAGCATTTCCAGCATTTACTGATGAGAACATTAAATACACACACACACACACACACACACACACACACACACACTTAGTGTTTGTGTAAACGATTAGATCTCAAATGCCCCAAAGTATCAAGTGTTCACAAGCATTTTTTTTTTCTTGCAGAACCGGGGATTGAACTCAGGCCCTTGTGCTTGCCAGGGAAGTGCTTATTCCACTGAGCCATCTCTCCGACCCCTCACAGGCATTTTTGGAAGGTAATTAAACCACAGGAGTGCTACACTGATTGAAGGATTGATCTACCAATGAGTTCATAGTTGAATGTGTTGCTATAAGGTGGGCACGGTCACAGGAGGAAAGTCACAGGGGATGAGCCACAATGGTTGATTCTCAACCCTGATTCCTCCCCTCTCTGCTCTTGACCACTATAGGCCAAGCAGCTGTCCTGTAGCCTGTGATGGGCTGACCCCTTTGAAGGTCTGAGTCAAAACAAATCTCTCCCCTAAATTGCAAGTATCTAGGACTGCATCCCGATGATGGGAAAGGGACTAATATAGCTTGCTATGTCTTCCTCAGGTGCTCTATTGGGCATAGTGTCACTCAGTCCTTAAAAGACACCTATCAGGTAGCACTAGGGTCCCCCCACTGACAGAGGTAGAAACAGTTGGAGTATTCAGGTTAATTACAGGTTCCGGATTATTCTGATGACAAGATCAGGGACTCTACCCACTGGTTCTATGTTTGTACCAGTGTTTCCTTCCCAGCAAAGTTCCTTCCTCAAAAATACAGAGCTCCTGTGGCTAGGCTCTAATTTTAAACTTATTTAACAAAGAAAGATACTTTTCCAAGCTACCTAGGAAGCTATATGTTTCTCTCCTCTCCTAAGGCAAAGCAACATTTATCTATTGTGTCTGGGAGGTGCTACCCCAAAGCCATTTCTACCAGGAAGGGAAGCCACATATTCTAACACTGGTTTTTAGCACATTGCTATACTTTTCCCTTGCTGCAAAGTGTATCAGTCTTTCAGTAAAAAATTTCTCTCTAAAAATAAACTAGTAGCAAACTCTGCAATTACACTTCCCTGTGGGAGGCATGTGCTTTCCACTATTCTCCTGAATGTGTAAGTCCAATTTGCTGGCCTGCTCATCGGTCAGGCCAGAGACCCAAGTGTTGTGCAATTAACTGAAAAACCAAAGTTATGTAGGTCTGAATAATTGTGTGAGTTTTTAGGGAGTCCATGAGCAGCATGCTTCTTGAGAGGTGCTAGGTTGCCCTTGTGACTTTGCTTTCTCCAAAATGTCCTCCCCTGACTCTTGGATATTCTAGATTCATGGTTGTTGTATTTTATATGTGAGGGCAGCACCTTAAACAGGTTTACTATGGCAGAAGCCCACCAGCAAGAGGAGAAAGTATATATAATTTTGGCAAGGAGTTCGTACGTCTAATTCATTGGGGTTCTTTAATAGACATATACACCTATGGTGGGAACAAATTGTAAGTAATGGTGTGAAATTTTCAAAAGCATTTGACAATCATCCAGGAGGAAATGCTGAACAATGGGGCACTCTAATATGGAAAAGAAAGGTTTTTGTAGTATGATTAGGAATTTAGCCTAGAGAAAGGAAACAGAGGATTGGGATCAGCTAATGCAAGTGAGTAAGTGGAAACAGGGGTGTTTAGAAGTGGATAAAAATGTTTATAAATGATAAAAAAAAGGATGCACTCAGTAAACACTTTTGGCTAGTAGATAACAACTCCTTATTAGGTCCGCAGGGGTGAGTATGCAAAGTTAACAAACCAGTTTGTGGAAATAAGTATTCTAATTCATCATATGGGAGCCCTGGAGCTCAAAATGATAATCCATGAAAGGGCTTTGAGAATTCCTACAGATTGTTCCCCTGAAGATATTTAGGCCACTGTGCTGCTTAAAAGTGTCCGCAAGATAGGTATGATTTGGCTACAGAGGCTGCTGTTGCTATGAATGGCTCCAAATGAAACCAAGTCTGTCACATGTTCATGCAGAAATCTAGGCCCCACAGGGGGAATCTGCTGGAGTTTTGCTCCCCTACCTGCAGAGGGCTAGTGTGTATAATGGAACTGTCCATAGAAAGCCACTCAAAGACATCAAGATAGCAAAAGTAGTAACAGTTGTAGCAGTTAACAATTAGGAGTCATTTGCCGTAAGTCAGATGCTATTTTGAGTGATTTTCAGGTATTTACATCTTTAGTCTCTCATCTGTTCTACAAGGTAAGCATTGTTATCAACCTCACAGTACAGACAGGAAAACTGAGGCACAGACAGTCTAAGTAGCTTGTTTAAGTGACACAGTGAGCATGGGACCAGGCCATGCAATGCCACGTCTTAGACTTTTAACTGGAGGCTCCAATTACATGTGAAAGATGGAACACAATTCCATGCTGTTCCACTGGGGAGGCAAAAACTAAAAGCAATCTCAGCTGATGAAACCAAGAGAAAAATTGTTGGGGAAAACACAGCCTTTGTACCAAATTATGGATTATTAAAAGGTTAGGCTAAAATAATTTAAGGCAAATCAAAGTCTACCTGGTAGACCACAGAGTACAATAAACTCTATTTTTTTTCAAGAAGAATTGAAACTTCAAATTCTCATACTCAAGGAGAGAGTTGGAAATCTGTAAGATGGCTTAAGAGAAGCTGGGTTTGTTCTGAAGTATATTCTTAACCCCTGAAGTCTGGGCTAGCCGAGGACTTCATGTTTATTCAGCCAGGAATATCTTTGCTCTCGTCCACCAGAAGTCAGGCGAGGAGCTCCAGCCTGGGGAGGATGGATGGCAGTGGTTCTTGGCCTGAGGAACAGGAAGGCGTTGCTGACTTATTCCAGGCATTCTGAGACCCAAACTAGTTAGAGAAGTCCCATGTGGGTCAATAGTAAGACCAAGACTTACTCCTGAGGACCTCTGGGCCATCTCCTATTTTCCCTTTGTCCTTGAGAAAGCCAGCACAGAGCAGGGGGCCTGGTGGTCTCTGAGAAGAACAAAGATTTAACTCTAGTCTCCAGAAGTGGTTTCTGTCTCTGCCTCTTTTCCTCACCTTTGAATCTGATGTCTCCAGGGGTGAGGAGTCAAGAGAACGGCTTTACCTGGGGATGGTCAACCTCAGGCAATGTAGGGACCTAGAGATATGGTTTTATTTTATATGGCTCCTGACCTGACATCCCCAGTAAAAAAGACCCTTCACCTTGGTGCTTAGGAGAAGACCTAGCACAGTGTAGGATGTAAACAATGAAAAAACTAGGAGAGTGAATGGTACCTCTGGGCCTGGTGAGGGGATCAGTAGCAATAGGCCAACATATAGAAACACTGACCATTGCGGAGTCTTTCAACTGGTAGGATTAAAGAGCAGTACACTCACTCCTTAGTACAGAGCTTCATCAGAGCAACTCCACTACCCACCCTCCAGGGCTGAGACCCTACTCACCTACGCAGTTATCACACAGGCTGCAGTGGGAGGCGCGAGGAGGCCGGAAAATCTTGCAGGTGAAACAGTACTTAAGTTTCACTGTCTGGCCATTGATGATGACTTCTTTGGTTCTGGGAGGCGGGCGGTACCCCCCTGAACTAGTGCCATTTGCGATATCTGGAGAGGAGAAAGAGAGCACATGCCCTTTAGATTGTGGCCCCTGCTTTGTGGCCCCGTGGCCATCCCCATGGGCCCTGTCTGCCTGGAGTCTGCTCTCCTAGTAGAGCCAGCACAACTGTCTGCGAGCCCATCTGACCCTTGATGTGCTACATGGATGCCACTGCAGGCTGGCTGTCCCACATGGGCTGTCCCCTGCATGCATGCTGCCAACCAGCACTCTGTATTGTACTATATTGTTGTGTAACTGCAGGGCAGCAGGGACTGCATCTACATATGTGAATGAAGGCAGGGCCCAGGTGACTGCTCTGGCCACTGGCCTATGAACACGTGTGACCTTACTCCCCTGCGGAGGACTCAGTGAAGCCCCACCTGCTTCTTCTCTCCCTCATGAGTATGGGCACAGGAAACACCAAGGGC